TTGGGAATAGGGGATGGCATTTTTGCAGGAAGGTGGGTGGGAGGAGGAGTATTCTAGGTAGCTGTGGGAGTCAGTGTGCTTGAAATGGATATCGGTTTCTAGGTGGTTGCCCAAGATGGAGACAGAGAGGTCCAGGAAGGTGAGAGAGGTGTTAGAGATGGTCCAGATGAACTTAAGGTTGGGGTGGAAGGTGTTGGTGAAGTGGATGAACTGTTCGAGCTCCTCGTGGGAGCACGAGGCGGTGCCGATACAGTCATCAATGTAACGGAGGAAGAGGTGGGGTTTAGGGCCAGTGTAGGTACGGAAGAGGGATTGTTCCACGTAACCTACAAAGAGACAGGTGTAGCTTGGGCCCATGCGGGTCCCCATGGCCACCCCCTTTGTCTGTAGGAAGTGGGAGGAATTGAAAGAGAAGTTGTTGAGGGTGATTCTGGCAGGCATAAGTTGAGACTGCGCTGTTAAATCCACGTTCATTTCCAGCATCCTGATTAGAAAATCCGATGAAAAGTCAATGTCAGTTTTCCATGAATTTGCATCATCCTTGGCTGGAACTTCAAGTCTGAGGCTGTAACCCTGAGCCCTGCTTATGACGTAACTTGGATACCATCTTCAGGTTCAGCATTTATCACAAAATTAATATTGATATCTATCTTGGTCTTCGCATCCATTTCACATTTTTTCCCATCCCTTCCCTCTCCTGAAGCTACCAGCTCATTGCAGGCAGTCCAATTATACTTGTAAGAGTCACATACCAACAATGCAGCTCAATAGCTTTCATTCTTGCGTTAGTCAACTTTGAAATTCAAGAGGCTACCACAGTCTGTGCCTTCAACCATGTGCATACTGCTAGGAGCCTTCAACAGATGCCAGGTGTTTGGCCAATGGGGGTCATATCAATAGGGTGGCTCAGAGGTCAGCACTACTACCTCACAGCGCCAGGGACTTGGGTTCGATTCCAGCCTTCAGTGACTGTTCTCTGTGGAGTTTGCACATTCTCCCCGTGTCTGCGTGGGTTTACCTCTGGTTTCCTCCGACAGTCCAAAGATGTAGAGGCTAGGTGGATTGGCCATAGTGTCCAGGGAAACGCAGGACTACATGGATAGGATAGGGGGTGGGTCTGGGTGAGATGCTCTTCAGAGGGTCGGTGTGAACTCGATGGGCTGAATGGCCTGTATCCACACTGTAGGGGATTCTATGGTGATGATATTATCCCAACACTACCACTCCATCCCACACTAATGTTATTTGTAGCATCCTAGGTATTTTTGGGCTGAGATTAGTTAAACCAGTGCAAACCATAGATTGATCTTGGCACTTCCCTTCTTGATATGGGTCGGTTGCATTTTAGATAAATTCACTGTGGCACTGGGGCAATTTTGTATTCAAAGCTGAAATTGCAGGCAGCTGAATTTACCTGACCATGACCTGAACAAGCTGTGGTGGAAACACAACACTTATTGACATATGTTCAGCATGAATAGTGAATTAGTTAGTGTTTCATTAACAAACACTGTCTCTACAGGTGTAATCTGTAACATTGTCAAAAACAGATAAATTAAATCACAAGAGAACTTTGAGTAATCTAACTGGTGGATGGAATCCATGAGAAGAGACATTAGCGATTACTCATGTCGACACATTACCAGGGAGGAGGCAGAAGTCATTTATAGGGAGAATGCTAAGTATGGAGAGTAGTTACACAGCAGTTGTAATCATGGTTTAGAGATCAAAATGATTTGCGCACAGGGTTAGGTACATCTAATCTGTAAATGAACTGATGAAAAATGCAGACAAAAATGTTATGAATATTTCTACTTGAAGGCTAGTTTCCCTCTCCATTTTAATAACTTTGTGAGTTTTATCAAATAAACCTTAACCTTAATAAGTATTGTATGTGAAGGTAATGGGTCCAGATTTTGATGCCAAATTGATGCAGCTGGCCCTTGTCATTATTAATGTGCAAAGGGTTCAGCAGATTTAGGCCGGGGCAGAAATACTGCTCGATGCCAGAGTCTGAAAGCAGTTGTCCAAGTTGGGCAGTTATCGGTTTGATATCTCACTGCGTTGCAATTCAGTGAATGCCATGAAATTGCTGAATGTGCACCCATGACTGGATTTGACACACCCCTGGGTTTTCAACAGGGGTGCATATAAATCATAGAACCCCAACAGTGCAGATAGAGGCCATTCAGCCCATCGAGTCTGCACTGACCCTCGAAGAACATCCCACTCTTTCCCTGTAAACCCACATTTACCATGGCTAATCCACCTAACCTGCACATCTTTGGACTGTGGGAGGAAACCGGAGCACCCTGAGGAAACCCACGCAGACACGGGGAGAATGCGCAAACTCCACATAGACAGGCGCCCAAGGCTGGAATTGAACCCAGGTCGCTGACACTGTGAGGTAGCAGCGCTAACCGCTCATTTTCTTTATTTCGCTAAGTAACTAATGGTCAGTGGGCCCACCTGCCTTTCGACTTATCTAGCTGCTCTCCAAAACCCACACCTTCACAACTCTCATCTCACTACTTAGGCAGGCTGAACCCTGCCCATCTAATAATCCCAATTTACCCCTCTCAGGGGATCTGTAGGGGCTGCTTCATCCTCCTTTTTGTAGTCCTGGCAGTGCCCACTTCCAAGATCTTTGCGCTGCTTCCCATTCAGATGGGTTAGCAATTCCAGAGCTTTGGTCTTCTTCCCACTGAGGGGGCAGATTCCCATGCTGCAGCAGGTTAGCTCGATAGCAAAGTATTGCAGCTGTAGGGTAGGCATCTTGTAGATCTATCAACTGCTGATTCAGGGGGTGAGGTGGGGCTGGGCAACTGTCCATTCCCCCACCCTGTAAAATCTTGTCCATGCCAATCAATGTAAACCTTTGAAGATGCTTCTACGGTTAAACCGCTTCAAGTGTAATTATCAACATCAGAAAATGCTGGAAAAACTGAAAAAGTTCCGAAGAAGGGTCACTGGGTCTGAAATGTTAACTCTGCTTTCTGTCCATAGATGCTGCCAGACCTGCTGTATTTTTCGAGTATTTGCTGTTTATGTTTCTAATTTCCAGTACCCACAGTCTTTCAAGTCTAAGTATACCCCTCACAATGCAATGGCTATTAATTACTGGCAGTCATCGTCTGTAGCACTGAAAATTAACTATCATGTATGTGAAGTCTTATTCTTTCAGATTTTAATTGCTGGAAATTATGAATATGAAACATAAGACATTTTGTTTAACCTTTCTGTTTCTTTCTTCTTTCTCTCTTTTTCTCTTAGCCTTTCATTGCATTTATTTATTTTCCAGACTTGATCTGATATTGAACTCCCCCACTCTAAATTACATTTGTCTCTCATTCTTGCATTGTTATTCTCATCATCTTACAATCGTTTTGATATGGAGATATACAGTTGCTTGCCGTGTTCATCAGGCTCCCCATATGCCCATTTTTTTCTTGTTGTGCCACTATTGCACTTACCATAACTTACCATACGAAAGGCTTGAAAAACTTAAATATGCAACGGCAAGTCTAAGTTATGACATATCACAGTAAATGGCCTTGAACGGCAAAATATGGCCCACTTGCAACAATGAATATTCAATTGGCAGTTGATCATTTTTGCCTTTCCTACATTGGTGTTAAAATTAAACCGAAAAGGGGCAAAAATTCCTTCACACCTGATTTCAGCTATAAAGTGGTCACCAATCATCCAAATAAGGGACTTGTACCTCATCAACATAACTCAGGCAACCTCAGGCCTTCCAATGCAGATGGCCTATTCGAGAGACACTACTTTAGAATCTTCGGGTAAATCTGGCAAGAACAGTGGAGGGAAAGATAAATGGAAGGGGGTAAGAGCAGACAGATGTAGAATCATTCAAACATAGAATCATCAACTTTTACAGTACAGAAGTTGGCCATTTGACCCATCATGTCTGTACCAGCTCACATAAGAGCTACCCAGCTAGTCCCACGCTCCAGCCCTATCTCCATAGCCCCCTAGCTAACAGCACTGTGCACTCATCATTAAAAAAATAGGCTAATACATTTATAACGAGCAGGCTGATGTTTTGATTAAACAATTCAACAAACTGGTTCACAACTCACTCCTTTCCTGCTGCCTATAACCTTAACCTGGAGATTCCAGAAGACAGCTTTCCCATCTAAAGGCAGGGGCTTCAGGAATCAATGTAAATCATGTTTCAAATACTATCAAGAATTTGCCTTTATTTAGCACCATTAAGATAGTAAAACAACCGCAAAACAGTTCTCAGGGGCTTACTCACACAACAATATGACACTGAGGCAGTGAAAAAAATATTTAGACAAAGGCCTGGACAAAGCAGAGATAACAAGGTGTAGAGCTGGATGAACACAGCAGACCAAGCAGCATCAGAGGAGCAGGAAGGCTGATGTTTCGGGCCTAGACCCTTCTTCAGAAACATTTTCAGAAACGGATTTCAAGACTGGGGGTGTGTTTTTAAGGAGAGAGATTTAAAAAAAGATACGAGGGACATTTTTTTACACAGAGAGTGGTTCATGTGTCGAATGAACTTTCAGAGGAAGTGGAAGATGCAGTAGAGTTACAACCTTTGAAAGGCATTTAGATAAGAACATGAATAAGAAATGTTTGTTGGGATATGGGCCAAGCGCAGGCAGGTGGGACTGGTTTAGTTTGGGATTATGGTTGGCATGGACTGGTTGGACTGAAAGGTCTGTTTCCATGCTGTATGACTCCATGACTCTATGGTTGGAACAAAAGTTGCTTATCTGAGTAAGCAATGTTATGATGATGGGGTAGAGGGAATGCACACTGAATTCAATGCAAGGCAGATGATGTTTACCTGCATTATTTCCTTTCTCTCCAGCTATTGCAGGATATAGGCCGAGATAGGCCAAGATGACCAATTTGCAACACCGTAAACCTAGTGATTGATAATGTTACAGCATAGAAATCGAGCCATTCTATTATCTTCATAATACCTAAACTTAACACCTAAAGACAAACTGGGAGATCGAGTGCCAATGCTGCAGATTGTGTACCTCAACAGAATCCCTGGGCTAGGAAGGCCCTGGCAGGTTTCTCACCAGCAATATTTGGGAAGGGCAATGAGGCTGGTAGATAAGTGAGAAAACAGTGTCTCATGGATAAAATCACCAAAGACTCCCCTGCTTCCACTTCAAGTGAGCAAGTAACAACTGGAACAGGAATTCACTCCATGTTAAAATCTGCACCCTTGACCCTCCACCATGGATTCTGGTTGCTCACCCAGAGCCATTGCTGGAAAACTAACAAAGTGTCTGAGAAAGCATGACTGATAAACACAGAATCGCAGAATTGTTACACAGCAGGAAGAGGTCACTTGACCCATTGTGTCTGCATTGGTTTTTCAAATAAGCAATTTATGTATTACTCCTGGCTTCTCCCTCTATTCATCCTTTTTAGAAGCAAAGTCTTAGAATATGCAACAAGCTTGCAGTACACTCAAACAACAGTGAATATGTGCGTCGATACAGAGCTTTTCACAACCTCTGGATATCTCAAAGTGCTTATTAACGAACTACTTTTGGAAGCAATACAGGAATTGCAACAGCCAATTTGCACACAGCAAACTCCCATGAATAATAATGCGATAATGGCCAGTTAATCTATTTTTTGCATTGTTGATTGGCGGACAAATTTTGGTACAAACACTGGAGATAGCCACTAAATAGTTTCATGGGATCTATTTTACAGCAATCGAAGTGGCTTGTCCCACTTTAACATTTTGTCCAAAAGGCAACAGCACCAAAAGTACAATACACCCTCAACTGGTTTTCAGGTCTTGACTGATGGGCCAGGTTTGATGATTGCATTTAATCCCTGACATGGGGTTTGAACGAGAGACTGAGAGGCAAAAGCATTACATTTGAGACACAGGTGACACGCAGCTGAATATCAAAAGCAGAAACAACCCGGTAACAGAAAAGCTGTAAAAGCACATCAGGAAAATAATGTACAATTGTGCATCAACACGTAGAAATCACCTGAGAAGGGAAAATAAAGCTAGAAATCTGCTGCTTTCTGCCGTGCTTTTGACATTGACAGAAGAAACAGCCATTTAGTATGTATGCCATAAAAGACATTACACGTAATGCTCTTAAATTTGCGTTACAATAGAATCCTGCAAGGGTAATGTACAGAGATAGTAGGAACTGCAGATGCTGGAGAATCTGAGATAACAAGGTGTAGAGCTGGATGAACACAGCAGGCCAAGCAACATCAGAGGAGCAAAAAGGCTGACGTTTCAGGCCTAGACCCTTCATCAGAAATACAGTTAGCTCAAAGATCTGGTCTAAGATGTCGAGATTCTCAATTTTACCATCTGAAGTTTGACAAGCAATGCATAAGTGCACAAACCAAAAAAGTAGTGAATAGAGTGAGTGCAGGGTGTTGTGACCCCTTTAATCTCTGGACTTTAAATCAAATGGAGTGAGAAATCTCATCGCTACTGGAGTCTGTAGAAACAAAATGGATGTCACCAGTCTCATTCAGGCAATGAGATTATAATCACCACCATTTGCAAGTAATTTGGAACTAATTGGCAATCTCAATGAGTGAGATCGTAAGATCTCTAGAGTGTAAAAGAAAGTAAATGTCATGACAGGGTTGCCATAACATTGTCACAGTGTATAAGATACTAAGATTAAAACAAAAAATGAGCAGGGGTAGGCCATTCGGTATCTTGATCCTACTCATTCAATCACTAAGATGATGGATGATCCAATTCTGATTTTCGCTCCATTTGATCTCCACAATCCCTGACTCCCCTCTCAATCAAAAATCTGTCAAACTTAACCTTGAACACATTAATGATCCAATTCCTTTGCTTTCTGGGAGAAAGAAATCTGAGGTGTTAAGAACAGTGTTACACAATGATTAATTTGGACTGTGTACGTTAAAGGGGGAAGACATAGTTTTGGGTTAATTTGTGCATTCAGGAACTTAGTGTCTGGGAGTTTGGAAGTCTGTTTTGTGTAAATGTATTTAAGTTAAGTTTTACAAAGTTGAGGTAGGGATGAAGCTTCAGATCTGAGCAAAAAGGTTGGGGGAAAATATGGGACTATTGAGGGACATGCCAAGAAACAAAACAGCCCCGGAAGTCAGTCAGTCAGTCTGGCTGTGCGTCTGTCAAAGTGTAAAGGCTAAAGTGTTAACCTCACCAATTTTTACAGGTGCACCATAGAAAGCATTCTATCTGGGTACATAATGGCTTGGTACAGCAACTGCTCTGCCCTGGACCATTAGAAACTACAGAAAGTTGTGCATACAGCCCAGACCATTATGAGAGCCAACTTCCCGCCAGTAGATTCTATCTACACTTCCTGTTGTCACAGAAAGGCTGCTAACATCACCAAATATCCCTCCCAACCTGGCAATATTCTCTTCCAACCTCTTCTGTCAGGCAGAAGACACAGAAGCTTAAACACACATACCAACAGATTCAAGAACAGCTTCTTCCCTGCTATTATTAGACTGCTGAATGGACCTCTCTAATTTCAAATCTAATGTTGATCTTGCTTTTGTGCACTTCCTGTGCAGCCGTATCCTTGTATGCCTCACTCTATCTAAACACCCTCTGATCTATATGTCCTTATTTTATGATCTGCACGTATTGCTTGCGAAACAAAACTTATCACTGTACTTAAGTACATGCGGCAACAATAAATCAAATCAAACAAAAAATCTTTAGTAGGAAATCTGAGACAAAAATAAATGCTGGAAACCTGAGTTTGGGGAGCTTATGTGTTTGTTTTGATGTTTCTGCAGAAGTTTCTGTTTACAGTTTGCTTTAGGTCTCAGGGAGCAACACCGGCTGAAGAAAAATTGAGTGATTACACAAAATTCACCAAAAGGCAACTGGCTACAGCCATGCTAGTGAGAAGAAAAAAACCTTAGTGTGGTGGCAGTGGTGATACTTTGCTGAGGTTTACATGTTTCTAAAATCACTGCTGGAGTGAAAGGAATGGTGTAAAATGCATTTGTCTCTGTCAATTGTAATGAAGCCTTTCCTGATTTTTTTTTGTCTAGTGCAATATAATGTATGCCATGTTTCCCTTATTTAATAAATGTTTTAATCTTTGTGCAAAAAAAGTTCACTAGCAGCTTCTCATGAATGTGTCCAGAAACTGACCTCCTTGGTTACAAAAAGAATTATTAGAATCTAACAAATATTTGGTTTCACGCTGGGAACTAATTTGTCAAAAGCTAATATCAGCTGGAATCTTAACAGCAGTCTAACGCTCCTCTCAGAGAAAATTCTTCCTCTTCTCAATTGTAGATGAGAGATCCCTTATTTAGAAACTGCTCTCCGAGCTCTCGATGCCAGTAGGAAGAAAATTTCTCCCTAAAACTTCCCTGTCAAGTCTCCTCCATTCTTCTAAACATTGATACACAAGGATAGGCCCAGTCTGCTCAACTTTCCCTCCTAAGACAAAATTTTCATTGAATGTAACAGCCAAGTGAACTTTGTTGGAACAATTGCAATGCAGTAATATTCTTACGTATATACGACCAAAGATTGACCAGATACAGCCTCACTAAGGTTCAGTACAGCTAGTAGCAACACTTCTCTACTTTAATATTGTATTTCCCATCAAAGAAAGGTCAATATCCCATTGATGTTTGTGGTCACTTGTGGTATTTGCAGTTTTTTTGTGATTCATGTTCCATGACAACCATTGTCCAACAGATTTCTGAAATCTCTCTCCACTTTTATAAAATGTTGCTTTTCTATTCTTCCTGCCAAAGTGGACATTGTCACATTTTCCTATATATTTGCGATGATCCCAGCTGGTGGTAATACTGGACAAGTCAGAACCCTTGACAGATCATGTGCTGAATTTTTTGTAGTTGGTAAATGTGGTGATTAGTCCCTGAACCATATTCACATAGATTCATAATGCACAGAAAAGGCCCTTTGGCCCATTGAGTCTGTACTGACAAAGCTACCATTAAAAGTGCGCTAATCCCAATTTGCTGTACTTGCCCCATACCCTTGAATATTGTGAAATTTGAAGTATTCATCCAAATATTTTTTAAAGCTTGTAAGGCTTCCGGCTTCCACTACCTTTCTGGGCAGTACATTCTAGATTCCCATACCCGCTGAGTGGCAATTTTATTTTCCCAAATACTCTCTGAATCTCATGCCCCTTACCCTAAAACTATGCCCTCTCATGACTGACTCCTCAACCAAGGTGAACAGCTACTCTCTATTTACTCTGTCCATTCCCCTCATAGCCTTATACACCTCAATCATGTCCCCCCTCAGTCTTCTTCAGAAAAGAATCCAAGCCTATCTCCTTATAGTTTTCCCACCCCAGCAAACGCCCTAGTGAACCTTCTCTGTACCCCCTCTAGTGCTATCACATCCTTCCTCTAACAAGGTGACCAGAACTGTACACAGTACTCCAGCTGTGGCCTGAACAATGCTCTGTACAACTGTAACATTACCTCCTTGGTCTTATACTCTGTGCCACGACTGATGAAAGCAAGTGTCCCATATGCCTTCTTAACTGTCCTATTGATGAGTTTCAGGGATCCGTGAATAATTACCCTAAATGAGGCTGCAGATGTTCTTTAACAACAGTGCAAAAGAAGGGTGAAAACAAAGCAAGATAATATATACTTGTATGCTCCATCTGAAAGAACTTGACATAAGTATCAAAGTTTCAGCCTATTTTCCAACACGATCCGATGTAGAGACTCAATCCTAGAGAAATATCACTCCTATCTCAGCTATTCCAATATTCACTGAATTGATACTCTTTAGTTTCTGTCCTTGGACTGTTGAGACCATTCTTTATGATTTCTTTCCAAGTCTACTGCATGAACTTCTCATAACTTTGATGACCGAAATTTTCTCAGTTCTAATTTTGAAGGCAATTTAAAGACTTCTATCCAAACTCTCCTGACTTGGAAGCTCTGTAGATGAGAAATTGTGCTGAGATGACTGGTCCCTTGAATAGAACTGAAGTTGAAACTAAACTAAAATAAAATAAAGTTGCAGATAGATCTGAAACAAAACTGCCTGAATGGAAAACCAAAAGAACTGTGGATGCTGGAAATCAGACGCAAAAACAGAAATTGCTGGAAAAGTGCAGCAGGCCTGGTAGCATCTATGGATAGAAATCAAAGTTAATGTTTTGGGTCCAGAGACCCTTCTTCAGAACTGATGGTAGCGAAGAAAAAGTTGTTTTTTATGCAGAAGATAGGGTGGGGGGAGGGGTTATGGAGTAAACAATAAGTGGACGTAGAACCCACAGAGGCAAACAAACAGTTAGACAAACAATGGAATGGATAATGATCAGCCTGGGAGAATGAATAGCTGCTAATGGGGACTATTAGTGGCTAACAATGGTCTGTGTGTAATAGCAGACGATGTGAATACAAGGCCTGGTATGTAGAGGTTGGAGGAATGAAATGGGAGAAGGTGTGCCAGCCCTAAAATTGTTGAACTCACTATTGAGTCCAGAAGGCTGTAGGATTCCCAAGTGGAAAATGAGATGCTATTCTTCCAACTTGCCTGAGACAGGAATGTTGGCCAGGGAACAGGGTGGTGTGTTGAAGTGTCAGTTGCCCATGTCTCCCATATCCTAGACTCAGACCCCACCATACCTTGTGTTCCCACATTTACCGTGGCTAATCCACTGAGCGTATACATCCCTGAACCCTCCGGACAATTTCAGCATAGCCAAAAACCGAGCCTGCACAGCTTTGGATTGTGGGAGGAAACCAGAGTATCCAGAAGGAAGTCACACAGACACAGGGGGAACATACAGTCACTCACCTAAGGCTGGAAAGGAACCCAGGATCCTGGTGCTGTAAGACAGCAGTGCTAACCAATGAGCCAGTGTGCTGCCACATCAGAACAGATGTGATGGAGATGGAGAAACTGAGGAGTCCTGACAGGAAGCAGGGTGTGTGGATGCATAATCCAGGAAACTGTGCGAATCGGTGGGGTTTGTCGTGGAAACCCCACTAAAACTCCACACCCATTTAAAGCCACCAACTCTCACAGTTACCTGAACGATACATATCATACCAACATAGCCAACCCATTTTCACTTACTCATGGTCCCCATTATCAGCTTTACTCCTTCCCTGGCTTACTAGGAACCATTCCTTTGTTTGCCTAAACTCCTTGCTCTCTCTCTCTGCTTCTATCTCCACCTATCCACTCACCCTATCTCAACTGCCCATCCCCCACCCCCCCCACACCCCCAACTCCCTGTCTTCAGTGTATATTCCACCTTTTCCAAGCAACTATCAGTTGTGAAGATGGGCTACTGGGCTTTAAACATTAACTGTTTTTCTCTCTCCACAGATGCTGTCAGACCTGCTCAGTTTCTCCAGAGTTCTCTCTTTCTGTTCCTGTTTCTTTTTCCTCCGATTAACCCTTCAGTTAAACAGCCCATCTGCTGCCCATAATTGGGAAGTTGTGTCCATACTAGGTGAAAGGAAAGTGCTGTAAAAATTTCAATGTGTGACTACTACACCTGCGAGGAGGAAGGTTGGAGGGGTGGTGGTGATTTCCAGGACCTGGAAAATGACCTGACTCCTGTTTCCCCACGACCAATGTAAAAATTTAGTCAAATATGTGTAAAACACATTATCATGGCATGGGTATCCATCCCATTCAGGTTCTTGAGTAGCTTGGGTTGTGGATGCTGTGACTGGTTGGCTCATCGAACTGGTTCGTTAGTTCGCAGACATTTTGTTACCATGCTGGGTAACATCGTCAGTGCAGCCTCCGATGAAGCGCCGTTGTGTTTTCCCGCCTGGTATTTAAACTCTGGGGTCCATTGGAATTGGTTACCTCATTTCCAGTTTTCCCACTCCATTGAAACTAAGAAAATCTCATGTCTCCCTAAGTGAATCCAATTAAAACTTGGGAATACAAAACTCTTTCCTGTCAAGTTTAAGACAGTAATATAATTCTTTCCTGTTGCATTTGTCTGGTCCTGAAATAGCCAAAGAAGTACCTTCTTCTAAACATCAATATCTACAAAATCTGTATCTATATCTTACACTCCATATACAGTCCAAATCAGAAATTTGGACTGTCCCTTCTCTGATATTTTACAGGTTGAAAACCAGGTTCTCCCACAATTTGTCAGGAGTTCCTGATCACATTTCTCAAATGTTTTAAAGGAAACAAATCCTTCTAACGTGAAGTCTGTCTGAGGCAACTTAATCTTGTACACATTTGTTCTCCAGTTCTGTGCCTTGCTGATAAAGGTTGCACATTGACTTTCAGTCTTGCTGACAGTGATTTTGAATTGGCTCGCCAACTTTTACTGAATGTTTGCTTTTCCCTTTCCCCAACCTTGCCAATGCGTTATGCCTTTATGCATTCATTCAATCAAAGAACCATTAGCTGTTCCATTTTCCACGCATTCATTGATCCAGATATCATAAGGCTGCTATCAATCTTTCTCCTACTTATCACGTACTCCTACTGATTTGTGTTATCAGTAAGGCTATTGATGTGCAACTTTCCCACAGAAATGTTAGAAATCAAAGAATGTGATCCTATTAATGATGTCTGAAAAAGGATTCAGTTAAAAACCATATTCTTGACTAAATATAGCATTATCAGTACAATCTTGTTATGCTCTATTGCCATAAGCAATGAGGAGAACAAGGACTTATATCATTTTATTCATGCTCTATATTTATCTCTAGAAATCCACAGTTAAAGATTTTAAGCAGAATCTTAAAGAAGAAATAGGGTTAGGTTTAGTGGAAGTGAAAAGACCTATAAGGTTCGGAGTGGTTATTCCAGAGCTCATGTGATTGAAGACATATCTGTTTTATTCATTCGTGGGACATGGGTTTTGCTTGCAAGGCTAGGATTCATTGTCCATCCCTAGTTGGTCTTGAACAGAGTGGCTAGCTAGGCCATCATAGAAGCTGGTTAAGAGACAACCACATTGTGGTGAGGCTAAAGCGCATCATCAGTGAGTTCGACGGGTTTTACAACAACCAATGATCGTTGCCATGGTCACCATTACTGAGGCTAGCTTTCATTTCCAGAATTTCTGAATTGAATTTAAATTCCACAAGCTTCCACTTCCTTACAGTATTAGCCTGGATGTCTGGATCACCAGCCTAGCCCAGTGACATTACTACTAATCTCACCCTCTCCTTATCAGCCTATGGAAAGGAGAATACAAAAAAATGGTAGACTCCAAGGAATGATACATCAGCAGGATTTGAGAGCTGGAGGAGGACATATCAACAGATTTAAACTCAATTTTAAACTTAATGCACTGGGTGACCAGTTGCCACCGTGGGACAGAGATAACAAAGGGCATGATTTGATACGAATAGAATATGGGTGCATATTTTTGAACGAGCTGAGATGCATGCAGAATAGTCAGAAGAACACTGAATGATGGATATAGCAAAGAAATGGTGAAGGTTTCAATGCATAAGACTCATAACTCATTCAAAAGAAAGTAATTGTTCTCTATCCCTTATGACAGGGGTGTTTAAGGGGCTTTTAGATAAGCATATGAATGTGCAAGGGATTGAGCGATATGGACCAAAGGCAGGCAGAAGAGATTAGTTTAATTTGGTGTCATGTTTGGCACAACATTGTGGGCCAAAGGCCCATTCTTTACTGTGTGGTTCTTTTGCTCCATGTTCTCTGTGCTGTGTCTGCTAGTGCACATGACAGTAACCTGGTCAGCGAAAGGTGGCTAAAGAAAACTCAGATTATTTTTGATTTTAGTTTCACAGGATCATCTGAATGAAAATATCAAAGATGCCCAGTTGCTTCTTCTGCTCCAAGTTTAGCATCGTCAGAAAGTTTCACCAGTTTGCTGCATCTAAATTATTTATGGGGGTTGCAGTGCTGATTAGGGATCACATCACAGCTGCACTGACGGAGGACACATCGAAGGGATCTTGCAGTGAGGCATTACAGGTGGAGCTCAAGAATAGGAAGGGTGAAATCACAATTTTGGGAGTTTTCTATTGACCTCCCAACAGCCCACAGGAGACAGAGGAGCAGATACGTAGTCAGGTACTGGAAAGGTGTGAAAAAAGTAGGGTAGTTGTGGTGAGTGACTTCAACTTTTCTCTTATTGACCAGGACTCCCTTAGAGCCAGGGGCTCAGATGGACTGCAATTTGTTAGATGTGTCCAGGAGGGCTTTTTGAGACATTACGTTAACAATCCAACCAGATCCATACTAGACTTGGTATTAGGGAATGAGCCAGGGCAGGTGATTGATTTTTCAGTAAGAGAGCATTTTGGGCTCAGTGATCATAACTGCATAAGATTTTGAGTAGTCATAGAATCCCTACAGTGTGGAAACAGGTCCTTCGGCCCAACAAGTCCACACCAAACCACAGAGCATCCCACCCGGACCCATCCCCCTATAACCCACCTAATCTACACATCCCTGAACACTACAGGCAATTCAGTATGGCCAATCCACCTAACCTGCACATCTTTGGACTCTGGGATGAAACCAGAGCACCCAGAGGAAACCTGCACAGACACAGGGAGAATGTGCAAACTCCACACAGACAGTCACCCGAGAGTGGAATCGAAGCCAGGTCCCTGGTGTTGTGAGGCAGCAGTGCTAACCACTGAGCCACCATGCCACCTGCTGAAATGCAGCAAACACACACTGCCGTGACTCAGACTCGAGCCGAGGTCGCTGCGGCCACAGCACAGGCTACTAACCACTATACGATGACGGCACCACACAGAGAAGCACTAGTCATGGACAGAATAGTCATGGACAAGGACAAGAGTTGCCCTCGGGTGAGAGTGGGTAAGGGCCAATTACATCAAAATTAGACAGGAACTGGGGAATGTGGATTGGGAGCAGTTATTTGAGGGCAAATCTATGTCTGGCATGTGGGAGGCTGTTAAAAGCCAGTTGATTAAAGTGTAGGACATGCCTGCAAAACTGAAGGATAGTAATGACAGGATTCAGGAACCATGGTTGACAAGGGAGATTGGAAGATTAGTCAAAAGGAAAAAGGAAGTATACAACAGGTCCGTCCCTGGACTGACCTATCCCCTTCCTAACTCCCTACCTACACTCACCTTTCCTGGCTCCATCCCCGCCTCTTCGACCTGTTTGTTTCCTCTCCACCTATCCTCTCCTCTATCCCTCTTCTATCCGCCTCCCACTCTCTCCCTATTTATTTCAAAACCCCCTTCCCCTCCCCCTTTTCTGATGAAGGGTCTAGGCCCGAAACGTCAGCCTCTCTGCTCCTATGATGCTGCTTGGCCTGCTGTGTTCATCCAGCCCTGCACCTTGTTGTCTCGGATTCTCCAGCATCTGCAGTTCCTACTATCTCTGATACAACAGGTCTAGGCAGCTACAAACTGACAAAGCCTTTGAGGAGAATAGAGAAATTAAGAAGGAACTTAAACGTGGAATTAGGAAGGCTAACAGGCGCCATGAAATGTCTTTAGCAAACAGGGTCAAGGAGAATCCTGAGGCTTTTTATGCATATATTAGAAGAAAGAGGGCATCAAGGGAAAGAGTAGGCCCACTCAAGGATAAAGGAGGGAAATTCTGCATGGAGTCACAGGAAGTGGGAGAGATATTCACCGAGCAGAAGGACATAACTGATGTTGAGGTCAGGGATGAGTGTGTGAGTACTCTAGGGCATGTCAATATATTGGAAGAGGAAGTTTTGGGTGTCCTAAATTGCATTAAGGTAGACAAGTCCCCAGGGCCAGATGGGATCTATCCAGGAAATCTTTTCTGAAGAAGGGTCCCGACCCGAAACGTCAGCTTTCCTGCTCCTCTGATGCTGCCTGGCCTGCTGTGTTCCTCCTGCTCCACACTGTGTACTTACTGTTAACAACATTGTTTTGCATTAGAACAACTCAAACTGAAGTAGAACACTACTTAGGCACCCCTCAATCGATCCAGGAACAATCTCTTACAATCAGATATAGATTAAATCTATGAGAGATTTTTTTTGTTAAGCACAGGTATTAAGGGAAATGGCCAAAGTCAAGTACATAGAGGGAGGTCACAGATCAGCCAGGATCTCATTGACTGGCAGATCAGGCTCAATGGCCTACTCCTGTTCCTATGTTTCTATGTTTTTATGTTCCATTGTAGATGGGCAGAGCTTATCTTGTGATGTCAATTAACACTTTCAGGTGCCTGAAGCAACATTTGCCACACCAATTCTTTATGGTGTCAAATTGGTAAGGATGAGGTCAAATGTTTTTCCCTCTTGTTGGTTCCATCACTACCTGCCACGGACCCAATCCAGCAGCTATGTCCCTCAGAACCCAA